GTAAATTTTCACCAATGTAAAAGTGAACCACTGTGAACATGTCAGGAAATTACTGTTGTCATAAACAAAATAGATGATGGACAAATTCAGAAGTCCCAACTTTTTAAAACCAGTTGAAATTACTACAATGGAAAATGGATAATAATTTTGAGCCAACAATAGAGCATCAGAAATTATTCATATCTATAGAGATTTAAAAACTACTTACCACTTGACAAAACACTAAACAACTTAAATATAAACACATACAAAAGTAGACAGCCCAGAGTCTATGTACATGTGATAGACACTCAATACATCAACTTTGCTTTCTTTTCCTTTCCTTTCTTTCCACCCCTTTAAAATCCTTGTTCCATTGTCATGGAGCCTACTGGCTTTCCAATTATGTACACTTGTTTTCTATATCCAACTGGGATAGAAATGTGAATTACTTCATTCATAGATTCCTTGATAGTTCTTTCATGTCACAGATGTTAAGAGCTCAAAAAATGGGACATGATATTTTTGAAAGATTTTGGTTGTGCAGCAGATTACTCATGTAAATGCTGTTTAAATAACAGTGATACTTTTTTTTTTTTGATTGGTCCTGGGGCTTGATCTCTGGGCTTGGGCACTATCCCTACACTCTTCAACTCAAGGAGTGCACTCTATGGCTTGAGCCACAGTGCCACTTCCGGTTTTCTAGTAGTTTATTGGAGATAAGAGTCTCACAGACTTTCCTGCCGGGGATGGCTTTGAACTGTGATCCTCAGATCTCAGCCTCCTCAATAGCTACGATTACAGGCTTGAGCCACTGGCACCTGGCTAAGTGATACTATTTTTATCATTGTTGCTACTTTGTTGAAGAGTATGGCATAGGCTCTGTCACACATTTTTCTAACACCATCATGGCTAAACTATTCATTTCTTCATAGTGACAAGATGTCTTCACTAGTTCAAGGCATCACGGGCTCATGCAGTAACTTGCCTCTCTCTGGCATGATGTCCCCTGGCAAAATTTCCTTCTAACTCATTAACTAGAAGCATATAAAACCACTCCTATCCCAGAAAGGAATGGGGAAGAAAAGCAAAGCAAATGAAATCCTGTCAATATAGAAATGAGGAGGAGAATGAGTATTGATTAGACAACAATATCTAAAATATTGCTCAACACTAAAAATAATGAGCCGGAATCACTTGCACTGCTTACAAATTAAAAAGGTACATCTGTAGGGCACGTCTAGGACAGAATACTCTTTACCCTTCCTTTTCAAAATGTGACTAAATATAGGTTAAAGAAGACTAACAAAACTTGGGGAAATCCCAGGAGATATAACAGGACTAATCTCTCCTAATTCCTTGCAAGACCACTTATGAGCCTGACCTTACATAGATCCCTGTGCTCTAGATCTTTTCAAGTCCCCTACCCCTTTCTTTTTAAGGGAAATGGTCCCTTGGGTTAAGTCCCAATCTTTTTCTAGATCCAAAGCCAGAAGGATTTCTGGAATGTATCAAGGTTTCTACTGCCAAAATCAGTTGGATACACGTTAATAAAACCCTTTAAAAAAGGAGACAAAACTAGAAAGTTCCTTCTACTGTTCCTATATTTCTTCAAATAAGAGAAAGAAACATTAGGAAGAGAATGGATTGCAAAATGCAGTGCCTGTTTTTCAGTGAATTGGAGAAGAGGGTGAGGGATTTTCTGCTAAACTGTCACTTTTCCAATTTCTGGCCAAACCCCTGTAGTTTTCATCACGCACCATTTTTGTGATTAATGATGTGCACCCAGTTAATGGAAAACAGCAGATTAGGTTTCCTCTAATAGTTTTGAAAGTTATGTACGTCGTCTGTCTGCCTCATTTAGTAACAACCTCACTGTTCAGTAAGAAAGTAATAGATTTAATCCAAAGCAGAACTTGGTTTTATACATACAAGACTGGGCAGTTTTCTAGAGTGGAGAAAATTACTCTTTTAAAGGTATGCAGATTTTCATTTATAATGTAATGATAAGATGTGTTACATTATAATATTATGCATATGATATTCTATGATGGATATACTATTATCAATTATAATAATATAATTTAATATATTATAAATAATTTTGTTAATATAATTGATGAAATATAATTAATATACATGTATTAAGGTATGCTGATAGATTGTGCATTAAAATGTATATATTATTTGTATAATATATACATATTAACTTATATAATATCTTTTTTGCTTAGATTTAATACTTCATCTTCTATTTAACAATCAACTTAAAATCTAGATATCAGCCTTTATCCTATAAAAACACATGAAATGGTATCTTGCAACAATGACCAAAACATCTAATTTCTATTATTAGAAAGCTGAAATGAAAAGATATTTGTTATTCTGAATGCAAAGGTGAGAAACAGTGCTTTATGTATTGGTATATTACTGTAATTGAAAAATGCTATGAAAAGTATATAGCCAATGATTTTCTTTTGCTTAAAAGTGCCTGGAAAAAAATCAGTTTGCCATATGATAAGGCCAGTACTTTTGCATGAGTTGGACGAGCCATAAAGAGCAAAGAATGGACTTGTGCAAACTACGGTAACAACAAAATGAAAGTAGAAATACCAAATTACAAAATTCAATGGATCATTTCTTTGAATAAGTTTGTCCAAATCTGAGGATAATTCATCCTGGCAAGTCTAATCACATGTTCTAATTTTTTAAATGAACAATATATGAATCAAGTTGGAGATCTCAAATTTTCTTTGTTCAAAACAGGCATGTGGTGGTTTTTATCTCTAAGGATAGGCTATTTTCTCTCTAAATTCTTTTTTCTTAGAAAATAATTTTTAAATCTGTTTATGCAAGATGTTACTGGAGGCCAGGTACAGTGCCTAATCCCTTTAAATCCCCTTTACTCAGAAGGTGGAATTTGGGGGTGATTGTATTGAGGCAAGCTGTGCGATGTTAGCAACACCCCATCAAAACCAATAAAGCTAGGAATGGTGGTGCATATTTGTTCAGCTACACAAAGGGCCTAAGGAGGGGATAACAGTGCAAGCCAGCCCAGGAAAAAAATGCAAGACCCTATTAAAAAATAACTGAAGCAGGAGGGGCTATGGGTATGGTTCAGTTGAGAGAATACTAGATAAGTAAAAAACCACTATAAATAAACAAAAACATGAATGATAAAAATACAGACATAGTTTGCTTCACAGGTCCACAGAAAGCTCCCTGATGTAAAATGAGACTAAACAAAGACTCACTCACCCAGTTCGAGGCACTATTTCTCAATATTAAGACTAATATTTCATTTGTACCATAAGAGTTTAATTAATAAATGACTCAGAAATTGATCTTTTAAAAGAGGGAAAATAGCTATGATAAGGTCTTTCCTTAGTTATGAAAGGGGAAAACAGAGGCCACAGTTGGGTTTACCAAAACTTTTTTCTATGTTGATTAGTTTTTAAAGGAGTATGATTCCTAAAACATCAAAAACTATCTACACAGGAAGCAAAAAACCAACATGTTTGAATACAGACAATCAGATTCCAGCCCTCACATCTGTAATGATGTTGTTAACTTTCCTTATTTAGGGGAGATGAATTTAATGGAATCTCAATGTTGACAGTTTTATTCTGCTGAATAACAGATTCTTCTACAGTGTTACGCTAAGCTTCAGAGCGAGACTCTCATGAAGTCAGTATGCTGATAATGCATTGTGAAGTGACCCAGTGATGACAGTTATCAAACTACAGAAGTCAGATTCAAGTGTTCTTATCTAACAGTCATTGTTTTAGTGTAAGTTACACACACACACACACACACACACACACACACACACCTTGTGCCATATTCACAGCCCTCCCAAAGCCGAGAGCCCTAAAAATGCAGTAACTCTCCCAGACTGAAGAGAAACATTCTTCTTTTCAAAAATGATAGAGTTAACAACTACTGAATGAAAATCCACAGACATCTCATGACACTTGTCCCCAAAATGAGAACTTTACCCATGAGGGCCATGCCGAGGATGTAAGAAACATTAAATAAGACAGAAAAAATACCATCTCAAGAAAATGCATTGAAAAAGCATTGAGTGTGTCATCTTCAGGAAAGAAAACAAACCTAACTTGAAGAAACAGACATTAAAACAAAAACACAAATAAAACTGTTATTACCTTATATGCTAGGAACTGACAATCATAAAGTAAAATGTTGAACAAAGACAGGGTCATTAGTTTCTACAGTACGCCAAAAATAAGCAATTCTATTAACATTTAAATCTCATGGTCTAACACACACACACACACACACACACACACACACACACACACACACACACAGTTTTACAAAAGAAACTATTTCCAGGTACTGAACCTCACAGGCAATGTTACTGAACAAGTCTTCAAAATGGTAAATGGGTTCTTTTATGAGGTTTTTGGTGGTGGTGGTGTAAATGGCAGTCAGATAAACCTACATCATTTATTTATGTTATTCATGGTCTGATTTAATCATAAGAAGATGAAGCATTTCTGGAGGGAAAAATTCAAAGATGTAGAGACAACTTGTCTTTTTAGTTTGCTTATTTTTATACTCCGTTTAGTTGACAAAAATATAAATAATCAATCAAAAAAGCCTCCCCCTCAAGATAATATTTCATGAAATACTGTTTCATGTTCATTTTCCAAATGTTATTTTCAAGAAATCAGTATACCAATTTAGTCCAAATATTACAGTCAAATCAAAAGAGACTTTTTCTTTCTGAACAAAGCCATAGAAATATGATTTCCAATAAGTAGTTTTTGCCAAACACAAAACAAATTTTGGACCTCAACCTACATTTTTTCCCCTATGTGTGGAAATATTTTCTCCACCAAGTAGGTTTTATGCCAACATATTGAAAGAATAATGGTAAGGGAAGAGAAAAGGGACAAACTCTTTCATACTGTGGGGCCAATGTTTATGTCTACAAATTATACATAGAGCAACATCCAATATTAAAGACAATAATGCAGAAAATCCGAGATTATTACCTGATACTCGTTGGGCCAAAAGGTGCTCACTGCTAGCTCAGCTCGAAGCCAGTCTCTCCCAGTGAATCCAGTCACATTCCAAATTGGATTAGCAAGAGGTCCTTTATTCACCCTCACTAATATGTTCAAAGTGCCAGGATTCAACCCATTTTGGCTATATAACAAGTAACTGAAATCAATGCAGTGAGTGTCATTCTCCTTCATTGTGGGCAGCTGAAGTCGGGCTTTTTCTCCAGGGTCATGATTTGAAGAATCCACTATCATATATGAACCTGAAATGAGATCACAAATAATACAAAATTACATGAATAGGTAAGCCAAATTGGAATGTATGACAATTAAAAGATACTAGTCCTGAGGTGGAGCTGTGGCTAACATGGTAAAGTGCAGCCTCAACTGAAAGAGCTAAGGGACAGCACCAAGTCCAGCATCAAAAAATTTAAAAAACAACAACAACAACAACAAAAACAACTTCTGAGTGAACAGGTCGAATCTAGTTCGAATTCAGATCTCATTAGTCCTTTAGTCCTCCTAAAACTGATAAAGATAGAAAAAACACCTTTCTTTTTACTCTATTCAGAATATTAAGGCACAGAAATCAGACGGTACAGGCAATGAGTTTATTGTAGATTTCAAAACCCAGGATTATTATTTGGACAATTTCCATTTATTAATCACTTTAAACCTCTGCCCAACTTCTAGAGTTAGGATACAGGCTAATGTTAAAGTTTTCTAAAACTAACACTTGGGTATCATCTCACCCACTAAGTTGTCAGCCCATTTCCTATCGGCTACAATTCTGCAATGTTCTATGGTGTTCTAAGGCAGCAAAATCTGAGCATGAGACTAACCTATTACACAATCTTTGGGTCGTGTATCATGAGGTCACAAACAATAAGGAGGTGACGTTCAATCTTTGCACAACTTACTGCAGATTTCACTGCAGGCAAAATTACATAGTGCCTAGCAAAAAAAAAAAAAAAAACAGGATTGCTAAATGAATTCAAGAGCCTATCCAGGAAAAGCAGTTGTTTCCATCCAACAGTTGGCTTAACAGAGATCATATAGCACACAAAATACCAATAAACCAGTCTGTCATATTTAACGTAGATTAACAGTTCTGTCATAAACACCCCCCCTCTTTTAGACAAAAGGTATTAATGATATAAAACTCAGTTGTATCTCTAACTACTAATCCAATCTCTGTATTCTCACCAGAAAACTATAACATATACCTAAGACACATCAAACAAGCAATGACTACTCTTCTTAACTGGTTCATCAAATCTCAAGCAAGAAGTTTGAATTGTGGAAGAGAGGAGAAAGTCAACTATGTCAGCAAACAGATTTCAAATCTGACCAATACCTATGGAGTGGTGAACTGTGGTTCTAGAGTTTTTTCTACCTCTTTATTATGTACACAAACTACAAAAGCAATGGATGGTATTATTGTTCACTTCAAGTTTCAATCTTCAAGTTCTCATCTCTTCTGACAGCTGGAATTCTTTTTGTTTTCTTTTTCTTCTTGATTCCCAAATGTGACACATTAATAAAATAAATAATCTGTGTATATTTTTGTAAAGACTGTATCTTTTTATAATAGGATATCCTATTTCCTAATCTAATTTTCTATTATTTAATATCTACATGCTAGAAGCAAGAGCTGATTTCACAAGATGTCTCCCAGGTTCATTAGTACTTAGCAAACCTATTGCTCTTACCTAGTATCAGGACTATAATCCGAGGTCAGTTATTTATGTTTTCAGGCCTTACTTTTTGCTTACCCATTTCTATATTGCTACAACATTTTTTTCAGTGATGTACAGTCACTGTAGTCTATCTAAATCACGTTTACAAGTTTGTGTCAATATGGCTTCTGATGATAAATTTTAATGTAATGATTGCTAAATGACTTACTCGCTTCATAATAGTCATTTCTCCTTTGATAAAAATAAATTTTGTAATAAAATATGCTTTGTGTCCTATTTTAATTATATGACAGTAATCATTAAGAGCATTTAGCAATTTGCATTTTAGACTATCTATTGAAGAATTGGGATAAGTAAGCTATGTTCATTTGTAGGTTTTCAAATTTTGATAAATAGAAAGGCAAGAGTCACAAAATAAAAGCTTATCCAAATTATTTCAGTATTCCAATGTCCCTCAAAAGAGAGGTTAAATGATAAAGAAAAACAGAGCAAACCAGGTGGTAGTGGCTCACACTTATAATCCTCCATACTTAGGTAGTGAGATGGAGAAGATTAGAATGGTCAGGTCAGCCTGAGCATACCTAGGAGACTGTCTTGTCAATCAACAGCTAGGTATAATGGCATGCACCTATTGTCTCAGCTGCATGGGAGGCTGAAATCTGAAGGTTCACAGTTTTAGGCCTGGCTAGGCAGAAAAGTTTGCAATACTCCATCTCAACTGCAAGAAAGTGGATGTGGTGTGGTGGCACACCTGTCATTCCAACTATGAGAGCAAAGCAAATCTAGAAAGCCATGGTCCAGCTGGACACCTGGTACACAGAAACTGGTTCTTTACCTCCAAATTCACCAAAAGGGTTGAAGGTGTGGCTGATCATTACAACACTGTGTATAGTAAGCATGAAACCCTGAGTTCAAACTGTAATAGGAAGGAACTGTAATAGGAAGGAAGGAAGGAAGGAAGGGAGGGAGGGAGGGAGGGAGGGAGGGTAAAAGAGAAGGAAGGAAAAGGAAAGGGAAGAAGGAAGGTTAATTAAAGCTGACAACTCATTTTCATAAAATTTTTCTGAAAAATAAGTCTTTTTTGCAATGAAGCCCGATATTGCTACAGTCTCTAATGCAGTATGTGATAATAATGAATTTACCACACAGTAGCAGGAAGGAAGAAGTGAGTGCTAGCACTAAAAACCATCAAACCTTTGTCTACTGACGTGATATAGTGGCAAATTTCCCAATAGGTTACATGGAGTCAACTGCCTATTTGACATATTATTCTCCTCAGTCTTCCTAAATGTACAGAACACTGTGTTCTTACAGCCTTGAAAGTACATACTTCATTCTGGTTTATAAACTTTTTTTCCATTGTTCTGGGTCCAGATAACTCATCTATCAAATTTTTAATATTTAATTGTGATTTAGCTATATCAAGACTTGATAACAAAAATGTCTATGTTTGCACATATATATTTTATGGAGCATAGTATTTTAATTTAATTTGTGTTAGCATGAATTGTATAAGAAGTTGCATTGTGATATTGACGACATCTATATCAAATTCATCTCATCTATATTACTCTTTCTTTACAACTATGCATGTTATGAGAGGTAGATAGATTGCTAGATAGACAGATAGCTAGATAGCAATAATGGAGGCTAAACATTCAGCCCAAGAAAGCCAAGATCAGAACCCAAAGATCTGAAAAGTAGGGGAGCCAACTGTGTGTATTCCAATCTATATCAGAGTTTAAGAGTCAGGAAGGAAGACGGTTTAGAAGCCAGTATAAGCACAAGTCTGAAGTCAGAAGACCAAGTGTCAGCTTAACATAATCAGGCCTATAGTGAATTTTCTATTCTTCATCCTTTGTTCTATCAGGTCCTCAGTAGATTGGTTGAGGAAGGGTAAACTGCTTTACTCTGTCTCTTTTTTCAAATGGTAATCTTATTCAGGAACACTAAAAAATAATATGCAGCCAAATATCTGGGCACATTATGCCTGCAACAAAACAAGACAAAATTAAGTACCACAAAGGGCTCTCCTCCATTTTCGTCCCCCACAATCAGAGAGAATAATATCACTATGTAAGAGGAGAAGAGTAGAAAAGCATAGGTAGTATTCTCTTCTAATAAGGAAAGTATTTCTGTGTGTTCTTAAGATTATTTTGAATAGCAACAAGGTTCAAAAACACTGTGCAGCACAGTGAGTTCTTGGGATTGAATGAGACTTTCCCAGTAGAAACAAAAAGAACTTGCCAGAAACTGTTGGTATGAAAAAACTAAAGAAAACATTCAGTATTATAGTTTCACAACCAGACAGCCTAAGGATCAACAAACGAGATCTCTGGTAGAGAAAGAAGTGAAGACTACAATCAGAATTTGGGCCCCAGCTGCTCTGGGACATCTTTTTATTCTAAAGTTAATGTATCTAAATAATTTCTGCAGCTCATATATATATAATATAACCTGAAGACAATACCTTTTTCTTATTTTTAGTACTGTCTTGCTATATTTTCTTTCCTTTTTTTAAAACCACTTTACTGTATCTAGTTAAGTATAAATATCATATGCTAAAACTAAGAAGTCAGGGATCACTTTCTTTTGTAACTCACCAGCAATTCTTGTCTACTGCTAAGCTTTTTCTTCAATCAACCCACTTCTTTTCACACACCATATTTTTTTAAACTCAAACTCTGGTTATTTCTACAGAGAACAACCAAAGTAATCTCAACTGGTTTCATGGGTTCCACACTAGCAGTTATACAAAAGTTTCTACAGGCAGAGGGATGAATTTTTTAAAACATAAAACGAATCATTTTTGTATCCTCACATTGCAATGTGAATAAAAGCCAAACTCACTACTCCTCCACTTCAATATGATTGACACCTGTCAGCTCCCACATTAGCCCCTATCCTTCCATTTCCTTTACTTACTGTCCTCCAGATATAGTGGGCTTCCTTCTGTCATTTAAAATATCTGAATGTATGTTTACCACAGTTTTTCTACACAGAACTTTCCTGCACTTGGAAAGCTATCTCCTTAAACATCACTCAACATCTCTGCTCCAATATGACCTACTGGTGAAGCATTCCTTCATCTGACAATTAATAGTTTCTTCTAACACCCTTCCTAATAAATCACTTTTTTAACCTCCTTCATATAACTTGGAACTGAATTCATTCATGTGTTTACTTGACTGAAAGCTACATGAAAGACCTAGGTCTAGACCAAAAGCATTGAGCATTCAGGCTGTAGCACAATGTCTTTATAACCAAATCTGGCATCTTTTCTAATGGTTGTTTGAGTGCAAAGAATTTATCTAATGAATGCTCTCTTTCATGTCAAATACCTGTCTGTGCATCTCTCTATTCCACACATAAACTTCCCAAGATCAGAAACCCCCTTGTCTCTCACCAACAACATATAACAGGGATACCTTTAAACACTTGGTCAACTTAATTTAAGCAAGCAACAATGAAAACAAAATTTTAAAACCATAATTGTTACTTTCATAAACAAACTAAAAAGGGAAGCTATGAAATTTGAAGTGATTTTAATCAAAGTCCTCAAT